GGCAGGGGGCTGGACTTGATGATCTTCCACAGTCCCTTCCAGCCCTAATGTCTATGAAATCTATGAAATCTTATCAAATCGGGGACAGTGGTCCAAATCAATTAATCAAATCACTGTCCCTGACTCGGGCCGAATCTGAATTGAATATGGCCCGTTTCGTACACCCCTAGTGCCTAACTCCCTCGGGCTCTATTGAGCTGATTTTGCAGACCATTTTATTAACTTCAGTGGTAAATGCAATGGACCTATGGACAGAAAGGACATTGGATATGTCAAACATGGATAGTAATAAATGTGTAGTCTTTTTTAATGCACGGTTAATTAAGGCTTAGGATAAATTTATTGGATCTTTGGATGTGTCACAAGAATGTGGATTGTATAGGCAGCAGCCACTTCTCACTTCCAAAATACACGTGCATGCGCGCACACACACACACAGACACACACACACACACAGAACAGTGTTTTAAACAGCTGAGGTTTTGTTCACTTCCCCATATTTTGCTCAGTTCTTAATGTAATATGTTGTCATGTTACAAAGTGGGAGCAAAAGCTGGGTCCAGGCTTAGTTCATGTGTCTCTCATAGTGTTGATTTTGCAATATATATACAGTAGCTATTTATTACAGTAGGTATATCACCCAATTATCTGTACAGCTAAAAAGAATTCTTGGAAGTGGTACCTCCAGTGCTTCAGGGAAAGAAAGCTCTCCCTTGTGTTACCTCTGCAGTTTGTGACTGAAGATGGGCCTATCCTCTACTGCTTCACCCTGTTCCACAATGCATGAATATGCCTTTTAAAGATGGTTATAAAGCCTTTCTTAAGGGCAGATAATTTGTTCCTTATGTCACGTTAACATCCATTTTTACAATGTGAAATGAATCGTGAATCCTAAAGAGTAAAGATATTGGAATGAAAAAGAAATAGCTTCTTAGGGGAAAAAAAGTGTGCGCATGCATGTGTTAGCAAGAAATAACTTTCTTCTGAGTAGTTATGAGACTTGCAGACGTAATAGACATCTTTATAGTTGCCTGCAAAAGATAGTGAGAGGTATACTGAAGCCAAGGTGTTTATAATGAATCCCTATCACACCATGTCCTATAAACCAAGATTATACAGGTGCTTTCTATGTTTAGAGAAAAAGTGCCCATCTGGAAACTGAATATAGAGAATTTGATTTGATACTCTGCTGAGAAGACAGCAATGCAGAGCCACCGTGCAGAAATCCAGGCAGCAGCTCAGCTGTTATTGGTTGCTTGCTTGACAAGTTGTATTATATGTGATTTACATTTGTTTTTTTAAATCATTTATGAGTACTTAGCATTTCAGTTCCTCTTTGGGGGGTAGATCAAAATGTAAGTATGTATATGTGTATGTACATGGATAAATAGGTGTGTCAGTGAGCCATGAAACTTTGAAACCAGTATAATGAACAGGATGCCAAAATTAGGGCAGTAAAATACCCTGAGGCTATTTCCTGCCACTAAACACCTCTGCCTACCAAGCTAGTCTCTGTTCAGCTGTTTGTGGATGAAATAGTGTCACTGTAGAGCTAATCCTCCTCTTACAGCTCTGCTCTTTCCCTTAGCTGTAACTCTTCATTGTTTCACAAGGATATCAAGGAAAATACACGCCATACATCAAACACTGCAGATAAGAATTTCTTGATACGATTTTCAGTTGATGTTGTAGAGATCCCCGGGTTCCTTTTTCCCTTCATCAGAAATGGCTCATTTAAAATTTACACTAGTAAGAGCTCAGGATTCAGGAATTCTGCAATTAACACAAGAAGGGGTATCATAATTAATAACATTAATGATAAGTTTGATCTCACACTGGTTTTACACTGGTATAATTCTGTAGATGCTACAGGAATTATTCCATATTTGATGGTATAAATGGAACTGCACCACTGTAAAACCTGAATGTGTGAAATCTAAATTTAGCCCAGTATCTCACATTGATACACTGGCTTGCAGCCAGAAAAATATTAGAATATTTACAGACTGTATACCCATATTTACATGCGAGCCACTTCACCTATTACTAAACACCAGGTATGTGTGGGTTGAAACTCGGTATTTTTGTAATAGCCCAGAAAACTGGAACATGTTAGGTCTGGGGAAGTGAAGTAGAATCTCAACTCCAGCCCAGGTTACTTGATACTTTACTGAATAGCAACTGTTAACAAGAGTAGGGGCTCATTAAAATTTATCATTCAGATGGTTTCCAATTTACTGAGACAGGACTATCTGAAGGCCTGTTTTTCTTTAGGACCATACATGGAGTTGAAAAACATTAATGTGAACAAATGTCTTATATCATACTGAATTATTTGTATAGTTCCTGTCCTGTCATCGTTAAAATTATCGTGAGATCATTCATGATAGTGCTTGAGACGCCAGTTGCAAACAAGACCTGTAATTCACATAGCATTTGTTGGCTGAAGGATGCAGGATATTCATGTTTCCTGTAATTTCTGCTGGGGTTTGGGTTATGACTTGTATGTATGGTAATATGCAAAAGAATACAAGCCTTCTGCTGAGGATCAGGGCTAGCAATTACTAAATGAACAAGGATGCACCTGCATTCAAACTTCAGATTTCAGCAAGCGTTTAGTAGAAACATCCACATATTCCAATGTATCACATCCATATATTTCAGTGTATCTCCTATTCCCAAAGCCGTCTAAGCAACTCCATGGAAGACAACTGAGTTATACCAGTGTGATACCGGAGTCCCAGGAGATCCACAGCACATTTTGTCCAACATCCAAGGGCAGTGGCAGTACTCACTGAAGCAATGAGAAAAGAGGGATCGCGTATTCAAATTCTGCTTCAAATCTTTATGGGAATGACAAGTTTTACCCAATGTTGGCAGGGCCTCATTAAGGCATAGGAAGCGTCAGCCTCTGATGAGGGCCCCAATGAAAGGAGTCATCACATGGTGGGATCAGAAGTTTAACTTTCACTTAAAATACAGTTCTGTCCCTCCTGGGTTCACAGTGGCCTGCTTTGAGATGCTGTCCATTTCAGATTTGGTGGCTTCTTGCCCCATGTGCTATTTGGTTGTTTCTGTTCTCTCTTTCATTTCTCCCTGGCTGACACACAGCTGTTTAGTCAGAAACCTTGTACTATTTCTGAAGGTTTGAGGAAGTGTCCTCGTGCTGATTTATATTTTGGGCAGGGAAGTTGAGTGTGTGTCTTGTTTCAGTCTCTGCTCTGTTGTGTTGGTTACAGAGTCTTCTTCCTTTGTTTTCCAGCGTCTATCCCATTTCTGGTTTCTATTTCTATCTAGCTCCCAGTCATTGATTTGAGATAATAGCCTTCATTACTTCATGTTTTTCAATGTAGACTACTTTCAGGAAACTTCTGTTTTAAGACCTACCACAATGTAGTTTGCCTAATTTATGATCTGTCCTTCCAGTAGGAACATTATTACTCCCTTGTGAGCGTGGTTGTGAGCATCCTTTGTCTGGAAATCAGTATTGTTAAGGTTGGGGGTGATATGTTATAGGAGGGGAGTGTGATTTTTAACAAGCCTTCTTAGTGGTTTGTGTAGAAAGAGTTTTTGCTGATTTGGCTGAAAGGAGCATGAGTTGCTGAATGCTCTTGTTGTTATCTTGATTAGTAGTAGGAGTTGTCCTATTTTGCTCTGCGGCTGTTCTTCAAAAAGATCTAATCTTACCTTGCAAAAACTCCTCTGCCTTCCTTTTTCTTTCTTGCATAATAATAAAATACATATTAAATTGCCCTGTTAATAAAATCCCCTTCCCCATTGATTTCCTGGGCAAGAATCTTGCTGATGTGCCTTGCTTGAGTATTTTGAGTGGTAATAATAACTGAGCCATTGCTTCTGTGATCACCTGAAGGGACACAGGCATGGGAAGGTAGGAGTGACCTCTTCAGGAGGGCTAGAAACATGAACTGGGCCGTTTAGGTCCCCGGCTGGGCTTTCTGTAATGAAACATTTCCTGTGTCATTGTTTTACATAGGGATAAAATAGGGTTGTGTATTCCTGGACACTATAAAGTAGCGCCCAAGGTTGAAAGTACAAGTTGTCAGTGCGATAGGATAGCCGTTCTTCCCCAGGGAGCTCACATTTTCTATTTAGCATTGTAGAGAATTATACGATTCCTGTAATTAACACTTCACGCTCTTGGCTTCCATGGTAATAAAATGAGAAAGCACCCGGCCAATTTTCTCATCTCTCCTGAAAACCCCAGGATCGCTCCCTCAAGCCCATGCATCTTACCAACACCATCAACAGACAAAGGCAGGCATGCGCCCCCTGAAATCTTATACACAATCCATGGGAGACAAGGCGCTAGAAAGATACTCCAGTGTAAAGCCATGTCCACACAGCAAAAAGGTATACTTTTACCAGGTGTCAACTGACACACTGTAACTAGACCCTAATTTATGTTTACTTTGACCTGCTGGCACTTATTAAGGATACCTTGCCTTCTCCACACAAGATGTTTGCTACATCTTAGTTAACAGATAGCAGCTAACAGATGGTAAAGCACCCCCTTTTCCCAGTAGAGGAAATGTTAAAAGACTAACAAGAGCTGGTCAAAACCCATGTCAGAGAATCCAACATCATTATCAATCTGGGAACAGCTCTGATTTAGAAATTCTTGCCTTAAACTGAATGTTACGTTCAGGGTAAGGGTTCAGAGTTGCATTATTCACGCTAACTGAATTTCACACTGTTGGAGAGTAGTACATTGAGTGCCATGGAGTTTGAGGAGACCTTAAAAATAAAATAAAAACAGGCTTGGTGAAAAAGAAAATTTGTATATAACTTCTGTTTTCATATTTCAAGATGCTGTGCATCTTTGTGTGTCTGTGTTAGGATAGAGATGACTGTTTTTCCTATCACTATAAATAGGCATGATGCAGATTGGTGACATGGTGATATTTCACTTCTTACTTCTTAGTCCCCTTGTTAGCTCTAGGTTTGCTCGAATCCTGCAAGGCTCTGCACCTTGAGCAAACATGTATGGTGTGTGGTAAGTCAGACTAGCTCTGCTTTGTCTGGAAAGCCCGCAAACCTTTACGGCAACAAGTCACAGTGTGCAAATAAATATTAGGTTGATGCACCCAGTCGGGCTTTAAACAAAAACAAATCCTTCATTAGCTGTTTTTCTGCAATGAGCTCTTTTCCTAGTGATTGGCATGCAAACAAGCAAGACGGGACATGGAGTTTTATATGTATGCTTTCAAGAGAAGCACGAGAAGGAACATCTATTGGTCTGGCTGGTATGATTGACTAAAAAACTCCCATTTGCTTCAAGACACTGCTTTTGGCCTAGTGCTCTGATCTGGGCTCTCCCTAGTCTGCTGGATTGTTGTGGGTCATGAATCTCTTTTTTTCTGTCATGCATGGAGAAATCCATCACTGAGTTTGGGCTGCTTTAAAAAATTCAGTTTTTGCCTTCAAGGAGACCCAGGGTACATGGGCAGGTAAAATGGGAACCTAACTGTTCTCTCCATCCATCCCAGGCTTATCACTGTGGGACCCGAACACATTACCACTGTAACCGTTGATTATAACTTTCTTACACGGTCCGAGTTAAGCTCTGATGCTTTCCCTCTGGCCTCCCATAGTTTTTTTTTTATAATTTCTGTAAAACAACAAGTCAGATGGGTGAGTTTTGCCTTTAATACTCAATGGGTGAAATTCCTGGTCATTCAGATGAGTCCAGTGAGTGACTTTCACAACCCTGGGCCAGCTGCTGAGAAGGTGCAGGTTCACACACTTATCAGTCCCTTATCCCTGACATCTGCTGGGAGGGCAATACAGCAGTGCGCAGGCAGTGTAGGAAGTTTTTGGAGAGCATTGGAGACAACTTCCTAGTGCAAGTGTTGGAGAGACCAACTAGGGGCCATCCTCTTCTTGACCTGCTGCTCATAGACAAAAAGGAAGCTTACAAGGAGGGGAAGCTTGGACAGATGACTAGGGAGGAGTATAAAAATCTTGCTCAGGCATGCAGGGATGAAATCACGAAGGCCAAAGCACAATTGGAGTTGCGGCTAGTAAGGGACGTGAAGGGTAACAAGAAGGGTTTCTACAAGTATGTCAGGAACCAGATCAGGGAAAGTATGGGTCCCTTACTGAACGGTGAAGGCAACGTAATGACAGGTGGTGAAGAAAAGGATGGGACGATCTAGTTGGGGATGGTCCTGCTTTGAGCAGGGACTTGGACTGGAAGACCTCCTGAGGTCCCCTTCCAGCTCTCATTTTCTATGATTTTATGCATCTTGTGCATTTGTTGGTGTTAAGTGCAAAAGATGCGCTGTGGTGACATTTATGCACGGCTGACACTTGAGCCTGTGCCAGTAGTTGAATAGGAAGTGGTTTCAGCTGGTTGAGTTGCTTGCAGAATCCCTGTTCTGGTGAAATGATTACATCACTAAGGATTTTTATTTCAAAGGAAGGGGGATTTAAAAGCTGGGAACAAATAGTTTTGCAGCCAGCCAGTTTGGATTTTTATGGTAACATTTTGGAAAGTTGGCGACTACATTTGTCTCTTCACAACTGTCTTGTTTTGGTGGCGCTGGAAATACTGTTGTTTACACACATCAAGATGATCAGAAGGCTGGAACAGACCTGCCAATCTGTTTCTAAATTTGACTCTTTCCTTTTCTCCTGATACATCTTTCCCTCTTTCTTTTCTTTCTCTCTTTGTGTCTCTGCTTTTCAGACTTGCTTCTTTTGGTGTGCCAGCCCCTTTCCCTCTCTCTCTCTCTCTCACACACACACACGTATTAACGTGATTTTCTCAGACAGGCATCCCAGAAAAGCTGTTTTATAAATTACCGGTAACGCAGGCTCTGCTTTTTTGACTAGATGTAACAGCTAATGTGATTTGCACCTTCTGTTTACCGGGTTTCTATTATTAGAAATACACATGGATGGGACTAATATACTGGTAAATATTAGTCACCAGTGGAGCTGCTAATTGCATGGATTAATTAGTTAATCCAATTGGATTTGTTTTCAAACAGAGATCTGATTCTGTATTAAAGGAAGGGAAAAATCTCCACTTGTCTTACCTCTGTGGAACTGGTGGTTAATATATGAAGGAGCAAAACATGTAAATCAGCTGCCTGATTAATAGAGCTCAGCTATCATGCACAGTATTGGAGCAGGAAGGCATCATCTCCTCCATCCCCTCTCCTGTCAATCCTAGTGCTATTTCTCATCACACTGCACACTTTGTCTCACACAATCCTGAGGCTTCCCTGACTGCTGCCAGGAAGCTGGGCAGCATATTAACATCACAGCAGACATTGGCAAGATTACTGGTAAAGTGCCTTGGCTGCTAAGGCTGGATTTTTCTTTTTTTTATAGAACGGCTCCTCAGTCACCAGGAAAAAACATTCTGCTCCCTAAAATAGCCGGTCCTGAACTTTTCCATCCAGAGAATCCACTCCAATTTCCTCATGTCTGTCTGGGTTCAAGCATCCTGTTCAACGGTGGGGGGTGATCGAGATGATTGGGACCCCCTAACATCTGTTCATGAGCTGGTGGTTGAGAATCCACCGCCCAGCACAAGCAAATAGTCCTCCCCCATCCATCTTAGAGCAGTTTGCCTGCCATTCAGGCACCTTTGCATACCCTTTTCCCTTTAGCCCAGTTGTGGACCAACAATGGGTGAATTGTGCTCAAGCTCTTCTATCTGAGAAGGCGGAGGGAGAGGCTTTCAGTGATCAGGAGGCTGGGGGCTTGGTTCACGGCTCCTGCAAGGTTGGTTCACAGCTCCATGTGTTGCAGTGAGCAGTTGCCCTGCCTCAGGCAGAATCAGAAAGCAGCTGAGTTTGCTCCAGCCGACAGACACTGGGTAAAACTGTTCACCTTTTACAAGCCCTTCATTACAGCAGTGTAATGAGGCAGCTTTGTATTAGAGATACAAAGGAGTTGCGCACATCCCCACTTTGTCTCAGGTGAGTACGAAAAGTCCCCTTTTTTTTCCTGCCCATAATATTCCCCAGGGCCCAGGCCTTATGCAAGAGAGGCAAGCGTGGAAACCACTAACAAGGGCAGACCGGAAAAACCCTCTCCTGCTTTATGTCTGGGTCACTTTAATTGATCCCAGCAGATTTTGTCCTCGCTGGGCTCCTTTCAGGCAGCCTCCCCCACCTCCTGCAGGGGCTTGTCTCCATCTGCTGACGCCTGGGGGAGGGTAAAATTCCCCTCTCCTCACTTCAGGAGAAGCTTTTAACTCATGGCTGCTAAGCACCGTGTCGAGTTTAAACTTCCCATCAGCAGTGCGCTCTGCTGAATTATTGCAGCTGGATCAAGCAAACTGCCATCGCTGTCACTGCATATACAAACGGCCTCTTGCTAGCAGTTGCCTGGCCCTGAGCAGGAGTCTAAAGGCTAGTATCGGAGTCACTACCCCTTTGTGTCTAGTCCTGAGCTCTTTATTCGGCTGGCTTGTAAAGTCAAAGGTGTGCAGAGTTGGGGGTGGTCTCAGTGGGAGCAGAAAGTCCCGAGATTGCTTTGGCTGAATTTTTTAAGTAGCCAGAAAGAAATGTAGTAGAAATGAAAATGCGTCGCAGGCACTGATTGCGGGTTTCTGTTTCCCTTAGTTCCCCAAGTGCTGAGACTAAGATCATCTGTAACCCCAGTACTTAGCTCAGGCTTGCCTTTGCTTCAGCAGCATGAATGTACTTTGTTGTTCCTTGCATGCATTTTCATTGACATCTCTCTTGATAGCAGCCAGGCACGTTGCATCCTAAAAACAGAACAGCTGCCTTTCAGAGGAGGGAGGAGAAACCTTCAAGAGAATAAACAAGCATCTCCTCTCTTTGGTGCTGTGGTAACAGATATTTCAGTCAAAAAGTGTCAGCAGAGCTTCTGAGGAAAGACACTTGTTACCAGGAAAAACAAACCACCTCTAAGGAAATGCCTTCTACGTGCCCAAAATGCAGAGCTGATTCTAAGAGTGCAAGTAATGATTTGGTGCATGGTTCAATTCTGAGAGTCTGGAAACCCTTTGGGTTACAACATCCTCTTCATATGACTAGATGCTAACAGGAAGCCAGAAGTTTCAAGCTATGAAGTCATATCACATCAGGCCATTGGCAAATAATCCCTTTTTTCTTTTCTTTTAGGCATTTCTGCACAGAATCAGACAGAATGCTGTGGATAAAGCCGAGAAACACATAACAGAGGAGAATGTCAAGGTATTCCTTCCAGCTTTCTCATTGCATTAGTAAAGAAGACAATTCAGAATTGGAGGCAAGCAATCCTGGAAAAAAGATTATTCATGAACATTTCAGTGAACCAGGAATTAAATATCCATTTTTTTGCTTTTAGTGACAGTTTGCTTACAGGCATTGTAGTTGAAAACAAACTTTGGATACACAGGCCGTGTCCAAATGAGGGTAGCCGTGTGGTATGTGGCATCGCAGACCTGTCTATGGCGCCCTACACTGCGCATTCAGGCGTTTCCCATGCTGCTACCTTGCAGCATGGGGGGAGATTGGGGGGTTTGACCCCTGGAGATCCAGGGGTCAGTAAAACCTGTGCAGAAAAAAAGGGGGGTGGTGCACATGGAGGCAGCACTGTGCTGCTCCTAACTGGAGTCTGGCCAGCTGGAACCATGCTTTGGCCACTGGCGAGGCTCCAAGCTGCAGGAGTGACATGGCTGCAGCTTCCCCAGCCCCCAGATAAGGAAGCTGGGGCCAGCACAGTTGCTGGCCCTAGCCACCTGGAGTAACCTGCCATATGCCAAAGAGTGCATCTCACAGTTGTTCCCCAGCGATAACTAGCAGCGGCACAAGGTGTCCCGCTGCTAGTTGTCCCCAGGGAACTAAATGTCCACATTTGTCTGGATATGACCAAGTGAAATTTATATCAGGCAGAAAAGGGAGTGGTAGTGCAACAGCCACTAAACTAAGGCTTGTGCACAGAATTAAGTTCTGGTCCTACCTTGCTGAATTCATGAGAAGCTTTGCTGCTGACATTGCAGAGCGGAGGGTCCTACACTAATGGAGTTATGTCATAGCAACAGCTTTCTTATCAGTGCTTGAACAGGGTTGGCTTCACCAGGGTTGGTTCTTTCATATTTTTTTAATTCAGCTATATATTAGTATTACTATAGTATGTAGAGACCCTGGCCAGTGGTCAGGGGCCTTTCCACTAGTCACTGTACAGTCAAGTACCACTGCAATCCCTGCTCCAGAGAACTCACTCTGTACACATCAGATAGGTGAATGGGTGGAGAAAGCAAAAAATGAATAGGTGCAAGTGATTTGGGAGGTGCGGGTTAGTCAAATGGGGTTTTGCAAAAAAGTAGAAGAGACAATGTCGTTTTGGAACAGTTAGTTGGATTACAGTAAAGGTTTGTAACTAGTGTTCAGATAAAGCTTGATGGGGATCTGAATGAGATTATGTGATGCAGTGGCTTAAAATATGGAGGGACTGAACCTGATGACTTGGTGGTCTCTTTTAGACCTATGGCAAACTCTGACTTTTGCAAATTAATCACTGATCTTTTCACTACTGCCTGGAAACGATCAGGAGGCATCACAAGATAATTTGGGAGATCACATCACAGTCTCAAGATGGGAAATTTTTCCACAGGTGAAGAGGCAGCCCAAGGAAAAAGTGGTGAAACGGCTATAGGGAAGTTTACATACAGGCCTTTGACGCTGCTGTTCTGAACAGTGTCCAGGCGGGTCACCTAGAGTCCTTTAACAAGCACCCCAATACGAGCTAGCCTGGCCTGCCAGTTTAGTATGTGTTCCAGGGAGTAATAATCAGTGATCAACAACTGCAGATCCTAACATGCTGCAAAATCCCTGCAAAATAAATTCAGGAGTAAAACGAATAAACCGACACAGCTCTTTGCAGGAAATCATGAGCAGCCAGAGATGCCAATGAATATTATTATTGCCAGTATTATTCATATCTCATGGAAATGTAATAATTTATGCCCATCAGATGTGACCACCAAAAGAGCATGTTGTTTTGTTTGCTGGTTTAAGGTATGAGTGTGTAAAGGCCTTTTGTTCTTCTTTGGGGGGCTGCTATTTTAGAGTTGGTTAATAGAGTTGGAAAGCCCAGGGTGCTTTCATGAGAAAGAGTGGATGGGGTCCAGATTAAGAGCGTCTTTGTCATTAATGGGCTTTGTTACCTTATCCAGCTTGCAGTTACAGAGCTCCCCATCTGAAATGAAGAGTCAGTTCCTGGTGCCTTTACATGGGATCACAGCAGTACAGTTTCTCCGACCAGCAGGACCATTCTTTCTCTCTTTCTGTTCCCATCAGAAGCAGTTACAGTGTCTTTCCTGCAGCCAGAAGTTTTCTTTCTTTTTTCCTTGTGCTGTTCATTGGCATGTTGTAGGGGCACTCTGCCCAGTTATGTTATATATCTTGAGTTACCAGGGAACTGTGAAGTAACTGGCACCAGGAGGGACGGTACTGTTGAGAGTGTACCGATGGTTTGGCAGCCTGGGGAATTGAGCCTGTTTTTTCCTCTCTCTCTTCATGCTGTGGGAATGTCTAGGGGAAAGTCAGGAGTGTTTTGACTGTCACTAGTCTAGATGGAGGAAAAAAGTGCATCTTAAAACCAGCTGGGATAATGCTTAAGTACTAGCACCACATCTTGGGCAGTCAGGTGAACCTGGGGCACTAGTGTCACATCCAGAGTGGCCATACCAAGCCCAGTATTAAACCTGGTCTACATAGTTTTTGAACTAGTGTAATTATTTTAATTATAATTATGCTGGTAGAAAATTATGCTTCTATCACCACAGATAGTTCCACTGATATAGTAGTGCCTTATATTGTTATAAGTTGTTCTCCTTTCCCGATGAGAGTGTAACTTTACCTTCTCCTTTCCCAATGGGAGTGTAACTTTACCAAGCACTTGTACACCAGTGTAGCTGCACTCAGACTAGGGTGGGTGTACCACTGTAGCTGTGATGAAATAGTTGGCACAGCTTTGTGTGTGTCCTGCATAGTTCTAGAAAATGGCAAATGCATATCAAACAAGTGGGGAGGGTCTCTCTGCCTCCTGTAGCCTCAGATGACCTTGGTTGTCTAAGGAGCTGGCTGCAGGCTGAATCCCACTGGCCATTACAGAACAGAGTGGATTACACACTAGTTATTCCTTGATTCAAAAATACTCCCATGAAGACCACTTCTGAAGGGCAAAGTCATGCCTGACAGCTGTTTTCCTCTTCCTTGCTAATCTCCTTCAGGCACAGCTTATGGCAGTCATGCAGACAGAGGCTAACATATAACATGAGTCACGGATGACCAATGGAACCATGCTCAGTTCTGCTAGGATTTGCACTGGGGATTTTCTGGAAGCAAACAGACAGCCCCTCTGTGGAGAGAAAAATATTTCTCTGCTCCTTCTTCTTCTTTCTTCTGTTGAGTTCAAAGCCCACCAGTGCAAATCCACTGCACTGGAATGTCTGTTGGAAACCTGAAGGCATGCATCTGCAATGGAGATCATGCCGAACTACAGTGTCCCAGCGGGGTAGCCCTGAGGGCATTGCATCTCCTCATGCAAAAGTATAGCCTTAGTAAGACTCAGCATACTCTCTTCTGCACATCCAGTTTATTATGCTGGAGCATATAGAGTGGGTAGAAGTAAGGGAGTGCCTGCTTGAATAACCTGAAGAGAGAATTGTATTTGCCTTTGTCCAGAGAAGAAGGCTCCTTCAACCCTCAGTCTTGCACATCCTTGTGAGATCCAGGTATAAATTGGCCTTAATGAGGGACCAGACATCGTACCCATTAGTGGAGAAGTAGGACTTAATTTCAAGGTTTTTCTTTCCCTGAGTAGATGCACTCTGGCTGAAACAGCTCATCACAGTCAACAGGTCAAATACCATGCATTAAACTGCAGTGTGACAGTGCACCTTGACTAGTAACACATGTTGCAGGGAGGGCTGGATGCTCTGAACTGCCTTCATTTTGCTCAGTGAATGTCAGGAAACTGGAAGCCATTTCTCTGAGGCCAAGCTCCTTGACATTATTTACTATACAATGTGCTGTTTAATGATGAAGCAAAAGCCAGGAGGCCATTTTCAGTGTGAGAAATCGATGACTTTAGTGCATACCTTCCCTTTGAAACAGTCCTGGTTAAAGGAAAGGGATGAGAAAATACCATGGCTCTCCAAATCAGGGTTGTGACCCCAAATAGGGTTGTGGCACTTAGTTAAGTCATGAATCCTGCAAAGAGTCAGCTATAGCAGTCAGGCTTGGATCCAAAGTGAAGTTGCAAAGCTGGAAGTGGGATCATTATAGAAAAAAATTGGGAACTGCTTCTCTAGAGGCTGTCAGTGCCCATAGCATAGTTGAGTCACTGTAGTCGGGACTCTTTCAGTTAGCACAGTGCTCTCTGCTGCTGTGTGCACATTTACACTTCAAAGTTTTCCTTCCCGTTTCACATGGGAAATAACTTAAACAAACCAAATAAAAACAAAAACAATACCAGCTTGCATGTGCATAGCACCTTTTGCCTAGACAACTTTGGCTTTCTTTTGAGACCAAAATTGACTGCATGTGCTGATGCCTGAGCAGTTGAACTCAACTACCATAAGACACACACACAGTCAGGAATTGTGTTCTCACAACTAGAGAATACTTATTTAGTGATGAGAAGACACAAATTCCCAACTTGCACCAACGTATTCACTTGTTCAAAAGCAAATTAAAGACCCGAGTCTCCATTTACTTGCACCTTTTATGGACATTTATGTTAGTCTAAGGGAACACTAACTGGGGGCGAACATGCTACTATTCTGATCTAGAAACATTTTACAACATGTGTGAATGACAATACAAGCTGTTTGGCAGCAGAGAGTTGGACACCTTATTGCAGGCTCAGATGAAATGGGATGGCTAAGTGTAGTCACTTATTTAAAGGATATGAAGAATAACTTCAGATTTGTCCATGAAATTCTGACCAATTCAGCATCTTATGCAGAAAAGCTCTATAAGGTCCGTAAGAGCCACAAGATTTCAGATATGCAAATAACCTGTCATGTCCCTTTCTTCAGAAAGGTGATTCTCATGAGTGAGAAGGTAGATTACTTCTTTGCCTGTATCCTTTGTATCCTTATGGTGTACCACATTTACCACCTGTGACTTGGTGGGGGACAAAACAATAGTTTTGTCAGAAGCTGTTGTTGATGAGTCTCAGGTACTCGGAAAAAGTTCATTTTCATTTACATAGGCCAGTAGCACAGGCGTAACAAAGCACCTCCCTGGGGGAAGGCCGAGAGCGTGGCTAATCAGCCATTCCCCATAAGCATTTTACAATGCAGCCACCATCCTCCATCCTTGCTGTGCTAGACAGAATCAGTACTTAGGCACTCCTTTAATAAACCACTTCAGCCTGCTTCTGTAGTTAACATTAGATTTCTCTTCATATTTCAGATCTTGTTTTCCAACATTGAAGACATTCTTGACGTGCACAAGGAGTTCCTTACTGCCTTGGAATTTTGTTTACAACCAGAACCTCAATCTCAGCATGAATTGGGAAATGTTTTCTTAAAATTCGTGAGTACAATGACTTAATGCTATCTGCAGTTGCAGCTTCCTGTTGTACGCTCCCGTGCCCCGTAGCTAGCCCTAATCTCGAAGGTTTGTAGCTGTACCATGACAATGTGTATCTCATATGAAAGTTCTGTGTGGGGTGGGAAAAACCTTTGTGAATGAGGTTAGAACAATAGAAACCACATCAAACCCAGCTAAATAAGGAGGTATTTTTAGAAACTCTTCCTTTTCCCGTTGCCTAGAATTTCTTTTTTTCCTTTCCTTTTTTCCCAGCTGATCACATTTTATTGCTGAGAGTTTATTTGCTTTAGTTCTAAAGGTTTCAGGAGAGTGGCACGATTCTAAATGGAATCAGTGCAAAAAACTCCATATGCTTTAATATGAAATAAAACTGAGGTTTTAAATTCATAAGCGCCGGGGAATTCAAAGCTGATGTTTTCACTGCAGTGTTTCTCCTTGACTATACGACAAGGGCCTGATTTTCAAACTCTGAATATGTACAACTAATAAAGCTCATTTGCATGAACAATTACACCATTTCTATGTATAACAACATACAGTTGTACAAATATTTTTATGTGCAACTGCTCTTCTCAGGGATTTGAAAAGTAGGAACCTCCCATCTCTCTTGTAACGTATTTGGTGCAAACTCTAGTAACCTCATTCGGAAGCAGTAATTATTCATCAGATTTCATTCCACTGTGCTTTGAGGATCTGGGCTTCAGAGTGTATCTGAATCTGAATAGACAGAAGTTATACGGTCATTCGTTATGTTCATAAAACCTTGGCCCTTGTCCCCTTTGCTTGAGTTTGCTCATCATTATGTGACATGATCTATGCCCTGAACGCTTCTTAGCATCCCTCCCTGTCAACAGGATGTACTCTTTAGCATGTACACACTTTAAATAGGTGCATTAGATGGAGGTGTCAAAAGAGAACATTTCCTGGTTGATGCTGTATAACTGTGGTTTGTCACAAAATAGCACTGAAGACCCAGAAATGTTATTATCTAGTCATTCCTCCCAAATTCAGCCACTGGTGTAGAACTTTATGAATAAAAATTTTGGCTAGACTTCAGCGTACAAATGTAACATTGAATAACATTATTACTGAGATGTTTAATAATTGATAAATAAATGGAATGTTACTTATGAATAAAAGATACAGATATGTGTAATGATGCAGAAATGATTAAACAGCAATGCTAGTGAGATGAGCGTTGCTGCCAGTTTTCCTTGCAGAGGGACTCACCAGCCGACACATTCTGCATCAGTTCACGCTGAAAAGGGTTGAGTGCATTGCTGTCCCACAGTCCCAAAAAAGCAAAGGCCAGCAGCCCACAAGCTGAAATGAGCCAAAGTCTTTTCAATTCCGAATGTGCAGGCAAGGTCGGGTTATCCATAAATGCATGGGTGTCCTGCCAGAGGTAGGGCTCTGGTTCTAAGGATAGTGCTGTAGCAAATAGATAAAAAGGAGTCAACAGAAGACTAGTGAAGGAAAAGCGATGTGAGGCCCTGCAGGAGCAAATAGGTACATTTGAAAGAATGTACGTGCCACAATGCACAATTCACTAACACATATCTGACACCTGCTTCTTGATATCCTTGATACAGCTGCCGGTGTTCAAAGAAGGTTACCAGTTTCCTAACTGCAACAGTTCTGGTGTATCGGTAGCATGTGTGGGAAAGCTGTACTAAGGAAAAGTCCCAGATGCAGCTAATTCAGCTGCTGGTGGTCCCAGAGGTTCCCTGTGGAGTTGTTCCATAGTTTCATTCAAAAGTGTGCAGCATTTTGCCATCAGGAGACTGCAAGATGGATCCCTTGATCCACACTGAAGGCAGGAAAAGGAAAAGCCAAAACTTATCCTGGAAAGATGAAGTCTGAGGACACACCTGTTGAATGTTTTGCAGAGTCCATGTTAGCCAATTTGCTTTGTGAACAGATGTATTTGTCTGGGTTTGCCTTTTACATTCCTTGTCTTAACCTCCTTCACCCCCCCCAAAAAAACCCAAACCAAAAAAAAAAACCACAACCAAAAAAATGGAAGAAATGCTGAAGAAAAAAACCACAGAAAATCATTCCCCACCATATAGTGCATGTGAATATTATTAAGGATTCTGTGAAGGTGAAGTGTAGCTGCCCCTTTGTTTTAGATTATAGTCAGCTTGCAGAGTGTCCCAAGGGGAGTTAGTAGTGAGGAAGGAAGATAAAGCCTGTGCAACCTGAATGTGACACTATATCTTCCATCAGGATCACTTGGCTTAATCACAGGGTTGTCATCATTCTAGTTACAAGTGCCACTTCCGTGTCACCTGCCAGATGTTAGCACAGATGTTCTCCCACAGAAATTAGCTGTTTAAAAAAAAGAAAGTAAACTGCTTGTAAGGTCAGGAAATAGATTGGGTAGCTCTGGAATCAAGCACCTGCAGGCTAATGATACTATATTTTTCTGACACTTCCTTGGCGTTACTAAGCACTAAACACTTCTCCTGAGGTTTCTTGTTACCCATCCCTTGCTGCTGCTGCTGTGTCTGGATCCCACCTCTCTGTGCCTGTCTGTTCCTATCCTTCTTTTGTTCTGGCAAGGTTGCAGCACTGGCTTTTTCCATGGCCTCTCTTGCACATTTCCTGGGCATAGGCTCTCTATGTGGCACTCTTCTTCAGCAATGGGCTCTTGCATCCTGCTGCCCAAGACCCCTGGGACTAGAGCTAACTTTCCGCTTCTCCACCTCCCCCCTCTGCCCTCAACTCCCCAGTGGTTTGGATGCACCCTTTACCAGAACTGCAACCTTCTAGGCACTCTGGCTTCATAGTTCACTTCTGCAAGGGTGTGTGATAGTTGAAGCAAACAGGCAGGCGGGAGGGTTTCAAAAAAGCAATCAGTCTTTACTCTGTGTAGCACAAGGGACATACAGACCTAGAATAATGGAAAACATGCCTATGTGTGTTTCCCTGCCTCCGTTTCCTCACCCCTCTTGAACAATCCTTGGGTTTATGGCAGAGTCTTTCCAGGATCCTCTCTCTCCTGCATGTGGCTTGTCCTCTGAATCACCATCTTTTTATGAGCTCTTCAGAGAGTGCTTTTTTGCTCTTCCACTTGTCCTCTAAAATGAGTGGTGGACTCCTGGCTGGGGAACCTCCAGCTCCCTTTGTCAGGTGGTTTCTTGATCAGCTTTATCAGACTGAAGACTCCTCTCAGGTGAACTGTGACTGCAGACTTGACAAACAGGCTTTATTTGGGCAGTAGCCATCTTTTTCTCCACTGGAATGGATAGTCATCGTGAATGGATGACCATTATTAGGCCTGTGCCAGGTGAAATAATTGTTCCTGTTTGTCTCCTGTGAATTTTAGCTCAATATGGAAGCAAAATGTCATAAAGTTAAACCAACCTCCCACTCAAAATGAACTTTGAAGTGTTGTAAGCTGAGTGCACACAGAATCCCCAAACCACCACACTTCATCTTAGATTCTGCTTTGTCCAGCCATGGACATACTGTATGCAGGGCAGAAGATCATTGAACTGGCCAGAGCTCAGTTTCCCTGTTATTGCCAGAGCTGATTCATGTTGGGTGGAAACAGCAAAGGAAGTCTGTGCAGATTCCTGGAACGTAGTGAACTACCTACTGATGCTGATGTAATCTCAGAGCCTGAACAACATCTGCCTCCATAAAACTCATGATCTTATAAAGGAAAAGAAAAGGAAAAGAAACGAGAAACCAAAGTCCTTTAATAAGACTTTGCATCCTCCATTATTTTTACTTGGGGCAGTGGCGTTGTCTATTGTTTTCACACCAGTTCCAGCTGGCCAAGCAACACCTACAAAACTACATGTATAACACTATGTGAGCTATTATTTTGCATTACTCTCCAGTCTTCCTTGAGTCAGTGGTAATAACAGCCAGACAAGGAGCTACCTGGCTAGCCCAGTTATGGGTCTGAAAGGTCTTAAATGGCTGGTTTAAAGGAGGAGTGTCAGAGAGAGAATGTAGATATGATGCCTCAGAGACAAATACCACTGCCCAGCCAACCTTGGTGGCTTACTTGGTCCCATCAGCTTTGTGGGCTGCTATGTATTTGAATTAGATGCATCTCGGATTTGACCCTACTGTGGGGATATGATCAGACAATTCTGCTGCAGCGATCTCTTAGCACCGCTCAGTTATGCTGGAATCCTGCAACTTCCTTTGCAGCCAGAACCCTTTCTCCCTTTCTCACTCCTAAGACAGTTGGCCCAACAGTTGCTGTGCAGGCCTGGGCCATGGGAGACCGAGGTTCAGTTCCTGCTCTGTCATAGGCATCCTGGTTGATCTTGTACAGGTCACTTGGTCTCTCTGGGTGTGTCCGCACAGCACAAGGCAGTACTGCTCAGAGATCCCTTATGTTAGCTCTGCAAGTGCTAGTTCTGGAACTAGAAACAGTCAAGCCTTTTTAGTACTGTGCAGAGTAGCCTTACACTCCGTCATTTCTGTGTCTCAGTTCTGGCTCTGTACAATGAGGATACCAGTAGTTTGCTGTCTCACAGGAGTATAGTAAAGATTATGAGCTGCTGAAGTGGAGCTGTATACATTTCTCTGAGAGAGAGACATGTGCTCCGTTTCAACTCCATAAGCTCTTTAAATAGAATATATATTCCTTCTTCTAGGACCTAAGCCTTCAAAGCACTGAAGCATGTGCTTAAGATCCCCAGAAGTCTTGAACCACTTTGAGAGTATACTTGAGTTCCTGAATAGAGATGGACTTAAGCCCATACTTAGAGTTAAGCAGGTGAATAAATGCTTTGATGAATTGGGATTGTAGAGTCTAGAAGCTCTTTAGAGGGGAACATCTTTCCCTTCCCATTTCCAGGACTCGAACTGGGTGAATGATTGATTTTTTT